TATTTTATTTTGATAATGAACAGACTGCGATGTAAGTTTGAATTGCTAGAATATGTGGGGTGTGTGCGCGCGAGGCGCCAGTGCGATCGAACAGCTGAAACATAAAAAACTCAATTTTTGGAGTAAGATATAATCCGCAAAAGTGTTTACTTTTATTTTTGCACACTCACAATAAAAAGATTTGTGCTTTTGCAAAATAAAGCAAACAAACAGAATGCGTGTTATCATCCTTTCCTTTCCGTGAACTTGTTTATGGAGCGCCGCACCACACTTCTGTTTTAAATCTGTTAGCTTAATTATTTAAGCCAGATATATTTTGCTTTTTTTTTTAATGAAAACTAATTGTTATTTTTATTTTAGGCCTATTACTTACATAGGCTATACATTTTCCTTAAAGCATCCCATTTTGTCCCAGGGCTTGAAAACCTGTGCCCTAGGCTAGTTAAGTCCATGCAGAAACTTGAACGATGCTCTAGTTGTGGCATCACCGTTTAGTGAATTGAATGCTCCGGGAAAACGTCAAGTGTCGGTCACAGTGCCTTTTAATTGCTGTTTTGAATCCAGCAATTATTTATTTACAAATTATAAACTCTGATTATGACAAGTGTGATATAAAAGCTTTGTTTATTAGAGGAATATTTGGTTTGCTGGAAAATCTTACATCGCGACCATGCTTTTGGATGTCGTTTGTGCCCATATAGCCTACATTTATGCGGCTTTGTTCTTGGTCACGAATTTCCACAACTTTAATAATGTTTGGGCATTGTTTCTTTTCCTAAATCCTCACCGTCTAACCCTCTAATTTCGCAGGTTTATTTTATTGTCATTCACTTTTTATCATTGTTTTCGAATCTCTTACTGTGGTAAACATGCGGAAGGGAAATGAAAGAGAATTCATTCGATGTATTAATTTGTTCCCTCATTTTAGTTAAATCATGGGTTATTTAAGGAACAAAATTAATGAAACATGGACAGTGGCCACAAATTAATAAGTCGTACAAACGAATTAACAAGTTGAAGGAACAGTGACGGCGCTACACCGGGGCTAGAATTTTGAATCAGAATTTTGAATAGCCCCGGTTTAGTCTGACGTCATCAATATGATTTATTCTTAGCACCCCGACATATTGGTCTAGCCCCGGCTTAGCACCGGTAGAGAAAAAATTCTGGCGCCGTGCCTGTGTAGGAATTGATCCTTTTTTTCTCTCTGGAGAAAATCGCAGATGCTCGCATGGCTGCGGCTCGTACTGTGTGAGAAGAATTTACGGGCCGATCCGAGACGTTACGAGCACCTCCTGTCCTCCCGATAATTTTCAAACATGTCAAAAAAAATCGGATGCTGTCGGTTTAAATTCGTGGTGTATGTGCGGTTGAACAAGACGATTTGGCGATCCATCTGAAGTTGACCAATCAGAAGATGACAAAAACCATATAGTCTATAATAATTTTAGTTTAATTATACAGTTCTATTTTTTATTTGTTATTCTGAATGTGCCAAATTTGCTGTTCAGCTTTATGAATGAATATGCCTGTTGTATTTGCGGTAAAACGAGCAGAAATTCAGAAATGGCCTACTCCCTCGAGTTCTTTATGAAGAACAGAAAGTCCATACTTTTCAGCTATTCTCTTTGCCATGTCCTTTGTCTTCGTTTTATTTTTTTTTGGACTGCCACAAAGAAAACTATTTCGTCCTCAGAATCCATATTTTTATGAATGGCGCGAAACGTAATGCTTACGTCAGAGTTTGTAAAATCGTAGTAAATTCGTGTTGTGTGTGACTGCCTCCATACGATTTTCGGATTAACTCAAACGTGACATGTGCCAGAGCTCATGACTTTCCGACCTTTAGAATCGCACCATGTACGCCCGCCTTAACACTTCAAGCCAGACTGTCCATCATCTGGAATTCACCTATGAAAACTAGGGGTGGGCCCTATACTGGTATGAAAGTGACTACCAGTATTATGTTGTTCCATGATATGGATTTTGCTATACCGTGGATACCGTTATATATTCATGAATTCAAATTTTGCATTTATATTGTTTTGTTCAATTTGGTACGCTTTGCAAATTTTAACACAAATGACGATAAAGAGTCAAGGCTGAACATTTTCATCCTCTGTGTGCAACGCCGTACTACACAGGCATTAGTAATCAAACACATAGAGCATCGTAACAGACCAAATTAATAGCGCGCAAATCGCCTACTCCAGTGGTTCCCAAACTGGGGGGTGCGGCAAGGCTGAGAGATGTACAGTCAGCAGATTATTTTGCAAAAGAATCCTTTGCAGGGTGATAAAGACTATACTACGTAATTTTCCCACTTATCATGCGGCCACTTGTCTGATAAGTAAATAATTGAGCGCAAAATAATAATTTGACATATTTTAATTACCTCAACATGACTTGCAGTACCCGCTTGAGCGCTCTGTTATCAGTTGTAGCAGTTGTGGTTGTATCAGTAACAGACCACTAGATGGAGTGATTGAAGAATCTGAGTTGTTTTGCAGGCAGCCATGTAGAAATATAAATTAACGATGTATGGTTCTAAGCATAAAAGTTACAAGTTTGTGAAAGGACTTCCAGTGCCAGGTAAACATAAAGCAGATTATGAATATACTTAAGACAAATACCAAAACAGCGCGTCTACATCAGACGCGAGCGGCAAGGTTTGCCAAAAGCAAATAGAACCCAGTGATGTTCTCTGCTGTGGATGTGGCGAGACACGACAAATCCATGACTGATCATAAACTGATGCCACAATCTATTTCTGACGGACTCCAGCGCTCTGACACAAAGAACCATTTTAAATATTCTTAAGAGAATCGTAAAAAAATAGTTTCCTCAAAAATATTAAGCAGCACAAATGTTTACAATATTGATAATAATCAGAAATGGTTACTGAGCAGCAAAGCATACGTTTTTCGATACTCGATGGTATCGAGGCAATTCGGTATTAAAAAGTATCGAAGTCGATACACAGCCCTACCCACCCCTAATGAAAACTCAAACTTTTTACAACCGCAATATTCAAAAACTGATACAAATTTTTAATAAGCTTCTAAGACTGCCAAGACAACATTACAGTAACACGTAAACTGATGTGACCAAAAAAACTAACAAAAAAACAACAGCACACTAAGTACCACCATGGTAGCAGTTTTGTTGGAATTAGAATTTATCAAGTTGCTGCTATTTCAATACCATAGTGGTACCATGTGAATACCATTGTGAATTATATAGTAACCAAAATATTAGGGCTGGGTAACTAACTATAGATAGTGTTGGGTCTTAGGCCATCTTGTCCTGCACCAATCAAGTTCATGCGGGAGATGTTTATTAAGGACTTGACATCTTAATTTTATGTTGTTACTTATTTTTTTATCTCTCATGTTACACATGACGTGGAGTTTATTTCAAGTTCAAGTACAAATTTACTACAGAGTGTTACAAGTCAGAGTTCATTTATAATTGCACTGAAGGCCGGACTTAATCCTGAGTCTGACATTGAGTACCCCAAATGTAGTTACAGATTAATTATATCTCTATTTTTATTCACTAAATATATACAATATTCACTAAAGTCAGAAATGTTACCATAAGTTGTCAGAAAGCAAGACACAATATAAAAAAGAAAATTAGAGCTTCTAATTCTAAAAAAAAAATCAACAATAACGTGTCTATAAATTAAATCCTGCAAACCGCTGATACTGAGGAGTATCTCTCATCCCAGTATTACCCGTCTGGGTTTCCCTACACCCCACTGAACATATGCTAATGAAATAATGCATGTGTCACCAAGCATTAGCTCGCACAGGCATGAAATCAGAGCGACAAAAGCTATCTTCAGACTAATGAGGGAGATCTCCATATCTGCTGACCTTACTACACACGACCCGCATTAAATTTGAGCTGAATTATATTATTCTTCTGTTGAAATATAACAATATTGTATTTTTAAAGATTAAAATGACTTTAAAGAGTACTTACCTTTGGTTTTCTGTTCAGTATCCTGTAAATGAAAGCAAGAGATGCATTATCAGCAAAAGTCATGATATATTTCACTCTACTTGTTCAGTGTAGTAGTTTACATGTTATTTGAATAATATAATGAATATTCATACCATATTTCTGTAGCAGGCTGCCCTGACATTTTACTGCTAATAAATTATGTATTCCAATTGTGTAATTCATTTATGGCTAGTCTACAATTTTCTTCATCATCAAAAATATATAAATACGTGTGCATTAAATAAATATGTGTGTATTAAATGTTTATATTAATAAAAGCATACACAAATATCAGCAAAGTATCACCACAGTTATAAATGACTAGAAGGATGCACAAAAAAGGATGCATTTTTTGAACCCAACTCATTAGTGTCATGTTCAGAAATATGGGCATGATTACTATGCAAATATAGAGTGTGTTCCTGTTGTTGTTTGAGTGTTTTTTTGCTAACAGCCTGCAATTAACTCGATTAACATACTTTTAATGTACTGGTACTTTGATAATAAAAGTCAATATTAACATTAAATTAAAAAATAACACAACCAGACCTGTATCAGTAGTACTGAGGGCAGACTTTATTTGGTAACCTGCCTGGCTGACAGGTGGCCCTAAAAAGACTGAATTTGTTCTGAATAAGAATAAGAGGTTCTTGATTCCCAACACTAGACACTAATAAGAATACTGTTAATATTATTTGATGTACTTATTCCGCTTACTAAAGAAATAATTGACAGTTACATGTAATTGTTTTAATTTAAATTTAATATGTATATTTTTATGCAGCATTTTAAATAACATAAAGGGGGGGGGGTCTTCCAAACTGCACTCAGCCCAAAATAACAGCATGACTCAACAAGCACCAACCAAAAACAAAACTCAACTTCAAGTCTTAAAACACACCCTGCCTCGTAATCTCGACAAGAGGTCCAGCAGGGGCCTGGACAAATCATATAGGCACAAACAGTGGCCTGCTAATCGAGTGGAAACAGACTACAAACGGCCCTCTGTCAGAGAGGAGGCTAAGGGAAGAGGAGTAAGAGAAGGGAGCAAGGCCAGTGTGCTAGTTTACATTCCCTGGTGCCATTCCAGAACTGTTATAAAGACTGTTCTTTTCTTACTGCCCTTTTAAGTACAGAACACCAACTTCAGAACACCCAGGTTCTGAATAAAGATACTCAAGTACTGAATCCCAAAAGATCTAACCACTGATTCAAACACGAATTACAAATTCTTAAAAGGAAAGAATCTTGAGAGATGAAAAACTGTTAAAGCAAAATCATAATCTGTTGTAACTGATATTAAAATAAACTCTGTTGGGTTGCACAGCCAACTTCAGAACACCCAGGTTCTGAATAAAGATACTCAAGTACTGAATCCCAAAAGATCTAACCACTGATTCAAACACGAATTACAAATTCTTAATAGGAAAGAATCTTGAGAGATGAAAAACTGTTAAAGCAAAATCATAATCTGTTGTAACTGATATTAAAATAAACTCTGTTGGGTTGCACAGTATATCTGTAGCATATCAGTTAATGTCTAAATACAAGAGACTTTCTAAAACATATCGTTCCCTTTCAGTCGGTCACTACGAGTCACGTTGTGACCGACGAATTGGGATCTTGCTTAGAGAGACCAATCCATTTAGAGTGTAAACTAAACGAGCCAATGCACATTGGCATGCGATGATTGCATCCAGCTGCCGCTGATCACAGCGTGAGCATAAAAAGGCTGCCGGTGCAACGCATACTAGCTTTTCACTTCGGAGCCGAGCGACAACATCGTTCTGCTCCTACCAAACTGCTTTGTGTGTGACGAGTCTAGCGCGTTCTAGGGAGCTTTTTGTGTTGGCGGACGGTGCTTTAGCGGTGGTCGTTCCTGTGTCGAGTGGGCGCACTTCAGGCTGCACTATCCCCTGTCATGCTGCAATATTATTGATAGCCCATCTTGAGAGGCGTGAATCTTCTCAGACCTTAAAGGCCTCACATCAGTGACCTAGAGTTGTACAGTAAGAAAGTTATTTCTCTTAACCAGGAAATTAAAGTTCTTAGAATTGACAGACAGTTGACCCTGAGAGGTCAAGTAAATATCTACAGCGGATCTAAATATTTATAATGAATTACAACTAGTTATTATTAATTATTCATATTTCCCCATGAGCTGATTCGCTACACGGCCGTTTCCCCTGTGCGTCTCAGCACGTAAAAGAGCATTTCCCTAAAAAAGCCAATTTCTCTAAGAGTACAATAAGTGGGCTGGTTTTTGTAAAGACGACAGATCGTCTTTTTAAAGATGCCGTTTCACCCGTGTGTTTCTGGACGCGGTCGTTACCTGGCGCCGGGTGATGGTCACGATCACTGCCTCACGTGTCTGGGCATTAAACATGTTCCCATGAGTCATGTTCCCATTGCGGGAAGATGACCATCTCGGAGCTGCGGGCCAGGCTCCGTTTCCTCCAGGGGGGCGGAGCTCCGTTGCCTCTGTCGCGATCTAGTGCTCATCCTGGCGGCTGCCAGGCAAGGGCTACTTCCAGCAGTAGCACAGGTGGTTTGAGGGTTACAGCGGTGGCAAACCCCTCAGGGAACCAACCCTCGGGGGACCACCGCTCCTCTAGCACGTCGCAGCCAGTTGAGCCGCCAAAGAGCGTACCAGCTGTATTTTTGGTGCTCCTCCCGACGACCGGATGTCGATCACTGCATCGGAGGGAGAGCTCTCTGGAGAGGAAGATTCGGCTGCACTGCCTCCCTCCGGGGCAGTGGCAAAGCCGGAATCAGATCTGGAGATGTCGACTATGCTTTCCCTGGCCGCTGAGAGGGCTGGGCTCGAGTGGAAACCTCCACAGCGTCCCGAGCCCTCGAGGTTGGACGATTGGTTTCACAGGGTGGCTCGCGCTGGGTCCCTTTCTTCCCGGATGTGCATGAGGAGCTCACTAGGTCATGGACGGCACCTTTTACTGCCAGAAACCGATCTGCTGGTTCCTCCTCCCTCACCACCCTCGACGGTGGTGCAGCTAGGGGGTAAACAGGGGTCCCCCCGGTGGAGCGGTCAGTTGCGATGCAGTTGTGTCCTAATACCTCCTCCACCCGGCAGGGCGAACCGTGCCTCCCCTCCCAGGTCTGTAGGTACTCGTCTGGCCTGTCTGGTGATGCTTATACGGTCTGTGGAGAAGCTGCCTCCGCCTTACACACTACAGTGTTACTGCAGGTTCATCAGGCCAAGGCACTGAAGGACCTGCACGAGGGTGGTCACAATCCGGAAGTTCTGAAAGGGCTCTGAACCGCTACTGACCCCGCTCTCCGAGCGACGAAGGTCACCGTGAGTTCTCTGGGTCGTACGATGTCCATACTTGTGGTCCAGGAGCGTCATCTCCGGCTGTGCCTGGTCGATATGAGGGACGCCGACAAAGTTCGGTTTCTTAATGCCCGTGTCCCAGATCGGCCTCTTCGGCGACACGGTCGAGAGCCTGGCCCAGCAGCTCTTGGCTGCACAGAAGCACACTGAGGTGGTTCGTCACACCCTGGCAGCTGCTGCCTCCACCCATCTGCAGCACCCTAGCCTGCTCATCGCCGAGGGCGGCCCCCTCCAGACATACTGTGGTTTACACGGATGCCTCTACCACCGGCTGGGGGGCCACGTACAACGGGCAGTTTCAGGGGTGTGGACGGGCCCCCAACTGCACTGGCATATCAATTGCTTAGAGTTGTTAGCAGTGCGCCTTGCCTTGAACCGTCTCAAAGAGCGCTTACAAGGTAAGCACGTGCAGGTCCGAACGGACAACAATGGCGGCCGTTGCGTACATCAACAGACAAGGTGGTCTGCGCTCCCGTCGCATGTCGCAACTCGCCCGCCACCTCCTCCTTTGGAGTCAGAAGGTTCTGAGGTCATTTCGTGCCATTCACATTCCGGGTCTGCTCAACCGTACAGCCGACGAGCTTTCACGAGCTACGCTCCCGGAAGAATGGAGACTCCATCCCCAGATGGTCCAGCTAATTTGGAGATGTTTCAGAGCCGCGCAGGTAGACCTGTTTGCCTCTCCAGAAACCGCCCACTGTCAGTTGTTCTCCCTACTCTACTCCCTGACTGAGGGAACACTCGGCACGGACGCACTGGCACACAGCTGGCCGCAGGGCCTGCGCAAGTATGCGTTTCCCCCAGTGAGACTTCTCGTACAGACACTGTGCAAAGTCAGGGAGGACGAGGAGCAGGTCCTGCTTGTGGTGCCCTACTGGCCCACTCGGACCTGGTTCCCGGAACTGATGCTCCTTGTGACTGCCCCTCCTTGGCAGATTCCTCTGAGGAGGGATCTACTAACTCAGAGACGGGGCGCCCTGTGGCACCCGCGTACAGACCTCTGGAAACTTCATGTCTGGTCCCTGGACGGGAAGGGGATGTTCTAGGTGACCTACCCCAAGAGGTAGTTGACACCATCCCTTCGACGCGAGCACCGTCAACGAGACATGCTTACGCCTTGAAGTGGAACCTGTTCGTCGAGTGGTGTTCCTCTCATCGAGAGGACCCCCGAAGATGTCCAATCAGAGTTGTGCTCTCCTTCTTGCAGCAAGCGTTGGAGCAAAGGCTGTCTCCCTCCACCCTTAAAGTTTACGTCACTGCTATTTCAGAAAGAAACCACAACCCCATAGAGGGGAGAACGGTGGGGAAGCACGACCTGGTCATCAGGTTCCTTAGGGGGGCGAGAAGGTTGGACCCTCCTTGGCCTCCCTCTATACCTTCTTGGGACCTGTCTCTGGGGCTCAAAACACTACAGTGGGGTCCATTTGAGTCTTTGCAGTCAGTTGAGCTGAAGTTTCTATCCAGTGAAAACTCTGCTCCTGTTTGCACTGGCCTCCATCAAGAGGGTAGGGGATCTGCACCCATTTTTGGTCGACAATTCGTGCCTAGAGATTGGGCTGGCTGACTTCCAGGTAATCCTGAGGCCCCGGCCTATGTGCCCAAGGTTCCCACTACTCCCTTCAGGAATCAGGTGGTGAGCCTCCTTCCCCTGGAGGAGGCAGACCCAGCCCTATCTTTGCTTTGTCCCGTCCGAGCCTTGAGATGCTACGTAGACCAGACAAAGCTTTAGGACCTCAGACCAACTCTTTGTCAATGCCATCGCCCTGGCCTATCAGGCACAGGGTGTGCCCTGCCCGCTCAGGTTGCGGGCTCACTCTATTAGGAGTGTTGCATCCTCCTGGGCGTTGGCTCCTGGCGCCTCGCTGACAGATATTTGTAGAGCTGCGGGCTGGGCGACCCCCAACATGTTCGCTAGATTCTATAGCCTTCGTGTGGAGCCGGTATCCTCCTGTGTTCTCACCTCAAACAGGTAGAGGCACTGAGAGGCCCCGGCTTGGTGTCGGCTTGCTAAAACTGCTCCAGAGTGTCCGTACTGTAGACCCTGTCGAGCTCCTCCATCCCCTCGGCAGCCAGACGTGGCGGAACGTCCGGCGCCAGGCCCTCACTCGATGAATCCTTGAGAACCGGTAGAGGGCTGGGTTCCATATGTAGAGACCTAAGTGGATCCCATATGTGTAAAGTCCACGGTATAGCCTCAGAGCCCGTGTTTCCCCGGCAGACGTCTGCCATTTCCAAGAGGGTTATAATCACCTCCAATCTTCCATATGCACCTAAACAGTTGTTTATATGTGTAAGTGCTTCAGAAACCTCCTTCAGGAAGGATGGGGCTTCCGCAACATTCCTGTTTCAAGTGGTACGGGTACGTTTTCCCAGTGTTATCCAATCCTACTGAGTGGGTAGTGCTACGACAACAGTGACTGGTCTTCTTGTTGTGAGCCCCGGCCTACACCAAAAGGGGCACAGGAGGCTCGCACAGGACACTGGAAGGGGCAGCATTTATGGCACTTTGTTAGGGATCCCAATTTGTCGGTCACGACTGAAAGGGAATGTCTCGGTTACGTATGTAACCCTCGTTCCCTGAAGGAGGGAACGGAGACGTCACGTCCCGTCCCGTCGCCACGGCTGCTGACCACTGCTGAGCAGCCGGGTCACCGGCTCGGCTCCTCAGTGAAAATCTGGTATGCGTTGCGCTGGCTGCCTTTTTATGCTCACGCTGTGATCAGCGGCAGCTGGATGCAATCATCGCATACCAATGTGCATTGGCTCGTTT